ATGCCTCGTGGGCCAGGAGGGAGTAATGGGGGGAGCAGGGGCAAGGGGTGGGCCGGGAAGCGTTCCTTCTAGCGCCTGTCTTCACCGTCACGTCCCTGAAGCCTGGCCGTACTGGGCCGGCGCGTGGTTGCCATCGCTCATCTCCCGTCCCGCCCGCATGCCTCTGTGCCGCCTGGGGAAAGGAGAGAAGGCTTGGGGGTCAGGAGGGACCTTTCCCTCTTGCCAGCCACAAGGTAGCCGGCCAGTTTGGGTGTCAGGTGAATCGCAGCCTCAGGCACAGCTTTGCGATGTGCCTGAGCCTGATGGCTCCCTGCACTGGGTGATCTCTTCTCCCCAAGTACCTCTGTACCTTCCCGTGCCCCGTCTCACCCCACAACCTGCCAGCTCAGGGACCTCAGCAAGCACAAGCATCCTCCTCTTTCCAGGGTGATGATGCTCTGGCTTCTTTAGCAGCCAACCTGTGGCTCTGTGCTGCTGGAGGGAGTCTCACTCCCTCCCCATCCTTCCTCCATTCTCAGCTGCAGGATCTGCCTTGGCCAGCAGGAAAGTAACTTCCCACCGCAGCAGCTTTTTGTCATTGCTCATTGGTTTGGTCACCTTGCAGAAGAGATCAACCAGCCACCAACGTGGGAAAGTGTGGCTGGGAATGAATTATCATCTTTTCCTGCTCTGTTTATAGCTCTTTCGCTGGCCTCACTATGGGAAGCTCGTCATGGGAGAGATGCTGTTCATTAAGGTTTACAACTGTAGCAAGGTTTTCAGTAACAGGTAGGTCCTTTGGTTGTTGGGGTGGGGAGGTGGGGGAAGAGGCATACTGGGCTTTAAATTTTCTACTGGGAGTAGAAAATGTTTATTGGAAATTATGTTGGAAGGTAGATGAGTAGGATACAAGTTATAGAAGAGGAATGGAGCTGGTTGTTCTGGTGGGGGAGCAGTGCTGTATGTATTCAGTTAAATAAGGGAAATGATTTAGTTGTGTCAGCAGTAACAAGGACTACCTAAGGATCCAGATCAGACCTTCTGGAGGGACAAAGGTAAAATAGGGCCCTAAAAAATAGAGCTACAAGGGCAGGACTTGCAGCAGAGTGCAGACCTGCTCTCACCCTGTAGATCCATGTGGTGACTGTGACCATGTTGCACCCAAATTCAACATGCCTATCAGCTCTGGAAAAGCCCTGAGCCCGTGGTAGTAACCTTTAAAAAAGTTTTAAAAAGCCAGCAATTTAAATTTAAAGGATGAGCCAGAATTTAAAATGCACAGACACAATATGTGAACTCAGCAGCTATTGCAGCAGTTGTAAAACACTTAAGGGAAACCCAAGAGTAGGGGTGACAGATTGAGTAGTGGTGGTGGAGCAAGCAAGGGAGCAGAGGCACATCCTTCCAGGACATGTGAAAGATGAGGTTGCAGGGAAGGGTGCCAGCTCTGATAAGCAAAATGTAAGGAAAATCAACAGGAACAACTTTCTAGAGGCAGCTAATAATACAAACCTTTTCAAAGCCATCACAAGCCTGCCAGGAGGGTGTGGAGGAAACAGATGAGTACAGCACATGCAAGATACTTAAAGATAAAGCCAGAGCAGAAAACATGGCTGAACTTTGTGCCACTCTTTACTGGCTGCTTTCCTTATGGGAGCTGCATCAGAGGAATTGTCTCCAACTGAATTGTCAATAGAAACGCCTATAGGACAAATAGATAAAACAAACAGTAACAAATCACCAGGACCTGATGGCGCTGAGCAAAGAAGTCCAACGGGAAATGGCTAGACTGGCACTGGCAGCACCTATCCACACACCTCCGCTGCTGGGGAGCGGAGTAATGGCAGGTGACAGACATTACAGTTTAAAAGCAGTTGGTCAGCGCACTGGGATGATAAAAAATAAATAGAAAGAGAGTGTGGAAGGACAGAAGGGAAAAATTTTTTACACTGCTGTATCGATCTGTGGTCTCTGGACTTCTGCATGTGCAGCCTTCCTGTGGCAGCAGCACCGAGCTGGAAAAGCTGGAGGCGGGGGGGGATGAGCAGAGATACTCCTTCCTCGGGGATAGGAGACTAGACAGGCTCTGTGTCTCGGAGAAGAGAGAGGTGAGAGGGGATATGAGAGATCAGCAGCTCGTAGCTGAAATGCAGGTGACGGGAATATTTCCTCCTGTCTCAGTCCCGGGCGGGCAGTGAAACACGCCAATGGTGGTTTCCAGCCAGCAGCAGTAAGCTCTGCTTCACGCGGGGCTTAGACTGGGCGGCCAGCAGAGCTGCCACAGGGAGATGGAGGCCAATGTACAAACGGGCTCCAGACAGCAGTAACACAAGGTGGGGTTAGTAGCGGCTGAATGCAACCCTGCATGCGTTACTGCCACTTGCAGGGAGCCAGATGACCCTTCCCCAGGGAGAAGCCCCTTTGGAGTAGGTAAATTTTGGCCAGACTTGCTGCAGACACCCTGTGGCCATGGCTTTATGTCCTATTTCTGTATTTCCTTGTGTGGAGCCTCTGCTTCCCAGTTTTGTCTGGGAAGTGTCACCCCAGCTCCGCCAGGTGCCCAAACACAGGCTGGCTCCCCAGCTCTGCCGAAGGGGAGAGCTCCCTCACACTCGGTGGGACTGGATCTGTACAAGCCTTTAACCATCAATGGCAGCTTGGTTGCAAGCAGCTGCCTAGGCGTGACTGGGATGGAGGCACGACCTGCTGCAGTGTCAGTGGGTCTCGGGTATTTCGGCTGCCAGACTCCCTGTGGAAAGCGCTGCAGCAGTTTGCTGCATTCACCGCAGCTCAGAGGGGCTGTGAGCAGGAGAGCAGAGATCCTAGTACTCTTT